AGCGGCGTCTTTGATCCGACTGCCGTTTTCGCCATCGAGATCCACACTGCCCGCCCAAAGTCGCCCTACAAAAACCTGCTTGATCTGACCATGCACTTCGTCCTAATAGAGAGAGTTTGCGGTGTGGTGCTAGGACAAAAATATCTAAACTAATATAGAAGTAATACTAGAAACGTGGAAAATTTTCCGCAAAATAAGTATGTGCGCTCTACGCTGCTACACTGTACTGCCCGTTCAAAGTGGCCAAACCAGCAATCCATGTGTTATCAGCAAAATACAACCCAAGTTGTACATTCGAGACTTTCGTCGAATGGTGTGCCTTGGCTTCAGAATCTCGGATGACGATTGGTGGACCAGCCATAAAAATTCCAGACATTGTGATATGAAGCCGTGATATTCCCTGTACCCAAGTTGTACGGGTGGTTGTAATCACACCCAGCATACATGTAACCTTCATTTTACATCCCAAATACAACTTGGCCGAAGCCGCGATGAGTAAACAGTACGCCGCCGAGTTTCGGCGATTAATGGCATTCCTCGGACGTGAGGAAGAACTCTCAGACCCTGCCTTCAGCAGCCACAGTCTTGTCAATGTTACGCGACGATGTGTATCGCTATTTCAATCTCAAAACATTCGGGACCGAGACCCCCTCATCAGACAGCAAACCAACACAAGCTCTCTCAAACACACTAAAAGCGTCTAAAAAGTTGCTCAGCTCATTCATGCCGCGTCAGCATCTACCTTGGGACGACATTCGACTTGAAGGAAACCCAACTCGATCTTCAGCAGTGAACACATTAATTAAGCGCGTCATGAAGTTTGAAGTGCGTCATCAAGAGGTTGAGTCTCGGTCAGTGCGGGCGATCGACTTTCGTGAGTTCATGAGCTTGCTGACGATTATTCGAACGAATGAGAAGTTCATGCAAACGATCGCTATCGGATGGGAGCCATTTTTGCTCTGCGATGATATCTTATCGGCCGCATCGACGACATGATGAAAGTTCAGCACAACAACATATCAATCAACCAACACCATGCATTCACTCTCATTTGCCAGCTCCGATGGTCGAAGAATATCGCGGCGGAGCGACAAGCGCCGCACTCAGATTGTGTTGGCCTCAATGGATGATCGGCTGTGTGTTCTGCTGAATTTGGCTGTCTATTTGTAGTTGCGTGGGGACCAGCAAAGTTGTACCAATTCATTTTTGTTTGGTTACGGTGAAAATGGCGACAGATTTGCCAGGTCGATTCTCAAAGCCACCTTCGACCACGAGCAGTTCACCAAATTAGTCGATGGTCATCTTGGTACACACAGTATTCGCAAAGGAAGCACGACTATTGCTCCCTAAACAGCGTTCCCAAAGACAACATGGAAATGCGTGCAAGCTGGAAAGGCCAACGCAAGCAAATCGATACCTATATTGATATTGAAAGACCGTTGCACGATGCTCTCACTGCTCTTTGTTTGTGTGGTCCCAATGCTGCCGCAAAATATACTGTGGATGCCGAATGGTGCACGGATGCATTTCTCAGTCA